ACCACTATTATCACCACCATCAGTAAACCCACCACAGTCACCCATAAAATAAATCCAAAATTCCCACTATCTAAAAAAAATTTACTATTTCCACCACCAAGAAAAACACAATACACCAACACTACAGCAAAACCCAATACAATATAAATAAAACCACCACCACATCAATAAAAAAACACCACATCAAACGACCACCAAATAAAACAAAAAAGCCAGTAGACGAGGCATAAAGAGCTAGACCCTTACCCTTCCATAGTCACTATTAGGCAAGTTCATCCTCACTTTTCCTCCAGCTTTTCTTCCCATATTCTTCCATTTCGAAGGGGTAACCCAGCTGAACCAATTACGATACAAGGCGATATGGGAAAGATTTATTGCCGAGCTGATTTGAAGATCCTTTGTCCGCGGGACAGTATCCCGTGTTCCCTTAAAATTCCTTGGTGTCTGTCCCTTTGCGAGCGAGTCAAACATTACAGTCAAATACAGTCCGGTGTTGTGTAAATAATGCGATTTGCGTCTCATGATTAACGATTCAATAGACAGCCATAATGGTGAATGATTCTCCAACTATCTCTTATTTCCATTGTTGTTGTTGAAGATTCGCTACTTGGAAACAAAAGTCCGAGTAGCACGGGCTATGGTGAGCCCGTAGTATATATATTTCCATTGCCTCGTGGCTGTATTTTGAGATGCAACGCTGATGACTCCGGGCACAGAATAATATACATATAATAATACACCCAGGATAATATATAATATATCCTATAATAAATATATAATTTATCCTATAATAAATATATAATTTATCCTATAATAAATATATAATTTATCCTATAATATACCGTATGTAATCATATATTTCCATATTCCTTGCGAAAGAATTACGGACAGTTGAAGAACATAATTTAAACAGAAGTACAACTATTTGTCTCTCTTGCTGGTAACCCTAATTGGCTATTGCGTGTATAAAATGCTTGTATGTGCATACACCTATGTGTACAATTTTTACTCTAGATCACCACGGATATTGCTAAAACATTTTTCTGTGTACTGACCTTGCTTCAGGAGCACCGAGAGGGCTTCATGGGTCATGGATCACAGGTCATGGGTATTGAACAGGAGACTGCCAACTCCTCATAAAGACCTCATACTTGACCTCATACTTGAAGTCATACTTGAGGTCAAGAGCACTGGCACAGGGGTAGCTTGTCATACAGCTCATTACCCATAACCTTGTAGTTAAGCAGTTATGTCATGAATGAAGGAAATGTATAAACATTCAGATACCTGGATTCTGAATGTGTAAACATTCAGATATCTGGATTCTGAATGTGTAAACATTCAGATACCTGGATTCTGAATGTGTAAACATTCAGATACCTGGATTCTGAATGTGTAAACATTCAGATACCTGGATTCTGAATGTGTAAACATTCAGATACCTGGATTCTGAATGTATAAACATTCAGATACCTGGATTCTGAATGTGTAAACATTCAGATATCTGGATTCTGAATGTGTAAACATTCAGATACCTGGATTCTGAATGTGTAAACATTCAGATAACCTCACTCCATCTTGCTGCTGCCACAATACGAAGTGTTTACCACTACTCAAATTCCTTTGATTAAAAATAACTCTGGGAAAAAATGCATGTACACACACTTATTACATTACAAGAATAATATTTTAACAAGTCATTTTGTTATTTTATCTTTTAGTAGTGGAGGCATCTGCTGGGAAGGGGAAGGGAATTGTCAGGTGGAAAGCGCCAAGCCATTACGACTATATAGCACTTGGAAGGGGTCAGGATAAGGATCAGGGATGGGACAGGGGGGAAAGGAATGGTGCCCAACCACTTGTGGACGGTCGGGAATTGAACGCCGACCTGCATGAAGTGAGACCGCCAAAGTGGTTAGACATCATTTATATGTAAATATAAACACCATTTATATGTAAATATAATCCCGTTCAGTTAGGCTTCCGACATTGTATAGGTACAGGACTCCACTACGGGCTCACCATAGCCTGTACTACTTGGAACTTTTTGTTCCAGGTAGCGATTCTTAAACAACAACAAATGTATAGGTACAGGAAATATATCGACCTGTCCTCCTCTTTAGATAGTACTTTTTGTGACTATGTACGCCATCGTACATACATGGATGTAATGGACCATTAGATGCTAGAATTTAGTATTATCCGAAGTATTTAGAACGAAGAGGTAGAACGGCCTATTGACATAGCTCGAGTGGAAGGGGGATTGATTGTTGCCGCCGAAGGAGGCTAGTTTGTTGTGCACCCCATACTCATCCTGTGAGCGGTAGTGCAAAAGCATTACAGAGGGCACAAAAGGTCTTTATCAGACCTCATCTTAGATTATTACATAAACAATTTCTTCAATCCTGGAAGGGGGAGTTGTGTAAAAGCCTGGTTTGTGTCTCGGAGAGGCTGCAGGATCCAAGAAAGTTCAGTAGAACTTCTGGTTTCAACTCTTTTTGACCATGTCGTAGCTCAGTCGATTACGGCAGCGTCTGGGATGTTCTCGGACGTAGGTTCGAATCCTCGTCACGGCCCTTGTGAATTTTTTCATTAGTATTATATATTTTATAGGGTTTCGAAAAAAAACTAAAAAAAAAAATTAAATATTCCTACTCCTAGTGTAGTACATATATATACAGGGGAACTATATTTGGCCTCTGATAGCGTGTATTAAGCCTAGGAAGGTTAAGTTAGATCGAACACAAACTTTTCCGGTTTGTCCAAATTGAATAGTACCGATTTCTACTTTCTAATTGTCATTTACGTCAATATATGTACATTGGTCCTCATTGTTACTCTAAGAACTACTTAAACAGGAGGATGGGCTGATTGAGATATATAAAAGGTACGCAAGTAAAAATAAATACATTATCTATGTCTGTCTATGTCTATCTCTATCTATCTAAAAACTTGCCTTAATCTTTCCACCGAGTACGTCCAAAGCGACCCATCAGGAGATTGGAAGTGGCTCTGTGTGGCCAAAACTTTGCGAGAGACCGTGGCTTGTGATTCAGGTAATGTCGTGGTACCCATAATACCCATAATATTATTTTTTTTTAATTTTGCCCCGAGGGGCGAGTTTATTGGGCAGCACCACTCATCTTGTGAGTGGACACCGCCATAGTGACAGTATTGGGCAGCACCACTCATCTTGTGAGTGGACACACCGCCATAGTGACAGTATTGGGCAGCGCCACTCATCTTGTGAGTGGACACCGCCATAGTGACAGTATTGGGCAGCACCACTCATCTTGTGAGTGGACACCGCCATAGTGACAGTATTGGGCAGCACCACTCATCTTGTGAGTGGACACCGCCATAGTGACAGTATTGGGCAGCGCCACTCATCTTGTGAGTGGACCCCGCCATAACAGCATGTACAACACTCCCCAAAAGGAAGAAAACCGCTGGGTTGTTCATCCTGTCACTTGTATCCAGACATATTATGGTACTATATTAAGTGGCGCGTAGCCTCGCCTACTTCCACATTCTCTCCCAACCTTTCCTCGCTTTGCTCGGGGCTTCATCAAGTATACAAGTGCTTTACACTGTGATTCTTTTAATTAGTATTGGATCAAACGAATGCATATTCACACTATGAGATCCCAGCAATATAGACATTTCTGTGTGCTGACCTTGCTTCAGGAGCAGCGAGAGGGCTTCATGGGTCATGGGGTCATAGGTCACAAGGTCATGGGTATTGAACAAGAGACTGCCAACTCCTCATACTTGGGGATCAAGAGCAAGGGCAGAGGGGTAGCGTGTCATATAGCTCATTACCCATAACCTTGTAGAGAGATGCAGCAGACTATGAGAGCCCATGCAGTAGGTCTCCCCGACCTGCTGCATGGGTAACAGCTTCTCCATATTGACCTACCCTGGCTTTACGCCCTGGAGAGGCCACTTTTGCCTCGACAACCCGAGCCCAACTCCATAGTCTCCAGAGACTACAAGATGCCTATTACTACTACTATTAGGGTATCATTATTTTCATTTCATTCAATAAAAAAAAGATTGTGTGTAGCTGTGTTTTGAACCACTTTTGACGCAACATTTAAATTTTCTCTGACACGTATCACCACTCCGCTCCTCACCCTGTCTGTTAGTGGGTGGAACTGTTTGGTAATAATGTATACATTTAAAGTTTTCGTGCATTCAGATCATGTGTTTTGTTTATTTCTGTCCTCTTGCTTGTGTTGGGCACATTTAGTGTCCTGCTTGAGTGGGACACCTTTAGTGCCCTCCTGCTTGTGTAGGACACCTTTAGTTGCCCTCCTGCTTGTGTGGGACACCTTTAGTGCCCTCCTGCTTGTGTAGGACACCTTTAGTTGCCCTCCTGCTTGTGTGGGACACCTTTAGTGCCCTCCTGCTTGTGTAGGACACCTTTAGTTGCCCTCCTGCTTGTGTGGGACACCTTTAGTGCCCTCCTGCTTGTGTAGGACACCTTTAGTTGCCCTCCTGCTTGTGTGGGACACCTTTAGTGCCCTCCTGCTTGTGCGGGACACCTTTAGTGCCCTCCTGCTTGTGTGGGACACCTTTAGTGCCCTCCTGCTTGTGCGGGACATCTTTAGTGCCCTCCTGCTTGTGTGGGACATCTTTAGTGCCCTCTTGCTTGTGTGGGACATCTTTAGTGCCCTCCTGCTTGTGTGGGACATCTTTAGTGCCCTCTTGCTTGTGTGGGACATCTTTAGTGCCCTCCTGCTTGTGTGGGACATCTTTAGTGCCCTCTTGCTTGTGTGGGACATCTTTAGTGCCCTCTTGCTTGTGTGGGACATCTTTAGTGCCCTCCTGCTTGTGTGGGACATCTTTAGTGCCCTCTTGCTTGTGTGGGACACCTTTAGTGCCCTCCTGCTTGTGTAGGACACCTTTAGTTGCCCTCCTGCTTGTGCGGGACATCTTTAGTGCCCTCTTGCTTGTGTGGGACACCTTTAGTACCCTACTGCTTGAGTGGGACACCTTTAGTGCCCTCTTGCTTGTTTGTGTAGGACACATTTAGTGCCCTCCTGCTTGAGTGGGACACCTTTAGTTGCCCCCCTGCTTGTGTAGGACACCTTTAGTGCCCGCCTGCTTGAGTGGGACACATTTAGTGCCCTCCTGCTTGAGTGGGACACATTTAGTGCCCTCCTGCTTGAGTGGGACATCTTTAGTTGCCCCTCCTGCTTGTGTCGGACACCTTTAGTACCCTCCTGCTTGTGTGGGACACCTTTAGTACCCTCCTGCTTGTGTGGGACACCTTTAGTGCCCTCCTGCTTGAGTGGGACACCTTTAGTGCCCTCCTGCTTGTGTAAGACACCTTTAGTGCCCTCCTGCTTGAGTGAGACACATTTAGTGCCCTCCTGCTTGTGTAGAACACCTTTAGTGCCCTCCTGCTTGTGTAAGACACCTTTAGTGCCCTCCTGCTTGAGTGAGACACATTTAGTGCCCTCCTGCTTGAGTGGGACACATTTAGTGCCCTCCTGCTTGAGTGGGACACATTTAGTGCCCTCCTGCTTGAGTGGGACACCTTTAGTGCCCTCCTGCTTGAGTGGGACACATTTAGTGCCCTTCTGCTTGAGTGGGACACCTTTAGTGCCCTCTTGCTTGAGTGGGACACATTTAGAGCCCTCCTGCTTGTGTGGGACACATTTAGTGCCCTCCTGCTTGAGTGGGACACCTTTAGTGCCCTCCTGCTTGAGTGAGACACATTTAGTGCCCTCCTGCTTGAGTGAGACACATTTAGTGCCCTCCTGCTTGAGTGGGACACATTTAGTGCCCTCCTACTTGAGTGAGACACATTTAGTGCCCTCCTGCTTGAGTGGGACACATTTAGTGCCCTCCTGCTTGAGTGGGACACCTTTAGTGCCCTCCTGCTTGAGTGGGACACCTTTAGTACCCTCCTGCTTGAGTGGGACACCTTTAGTACCCTCCTGCTTGTGTGGGACACCTTTAGTGCCCTCCTGCTTGTGTGGGACACCTTTAGTACCCTCCTGCTTGTGTGGGACACCTTCAGTGTGTTGTTTGTATACATGTCAACCCCCCTTAATTTTCCCAATGGTTTTTTCTCAAGTTCTCAAGTTTCGTTGTCATTTACGCGCCATAAGTGTAAAATGTCCCGCGTTGCCTTGCCATAAATGTTCACTCCGAGGCCTCTAAGTGTGTGTGACAGTTGCTGCTGACTGCTTTGTATGACTGACACCCTGAAGCAGCTGACTGCTTCTGGGTGGTTATAAATAGGAGCTGCCTCGTTTTTGCCAATAGGCCTTCTGCAGTTACCTTTGTTCTTATGCTCTTCTTATGTTATGTTCTTTCTCAAGCCAGTTCGTGGACACCTGCCTATATATGTGGGCAGGTGGGTGGACTGAGAGGGGCATATGATATCAGGTAGGCTGATTGAGAGGGGCATATGATATCAAGTAGGCTGACTGAGAGGGGGCATATGATATCAAGTAGGCTGACTGAGAGGGGCATATGATATCAGGTAGGCTGATTGAGAGGGGCATATGATATCAGGTAGGCTGACTGAGAGGGGCATATGATATCAGGTAGGCTGATTGAGAGGGGCATATGATATCAAGTAGGCTGACTGAGAGGGGCATATAATATCAGGTAGGCTGACTGAGAGGGGCATATAATATCAGGTTGGCTGACTGAGAGCGGCATATAATATCAGGTAGGCTGACTGAGAGGGGCATATAATATCAGGTTGGCTGACTGAGAGGGGCATATGATATCAGGTAGGCTGACTGAGAGGGGTATATAATATCAGGTTGGGTGACTGAGAGGGGGCATATGATATCAGGTAGGCTGACTGAGAGGGGCATATAATATCAGGTTGGCTGACTGAGAGGGGCATATGATATCAGGTAGGCTGACTGAGAGGGGCAGGTTGGGTGACTGAGAGGGGGCATATGATATCAGGTAGGCTGACTGAGAGGGGCATATGATATCAGTAGGTTGACTGAGAGGGGGCATATAATATCAGGTTGGCTGACTGAGAGGGGCATATGATATCAGTAGGTTGACTGAGAGGGGGCATATAATATCAGGTTGGCTGACTGAGAGGGGCATATGATATCAGGTAGGCTGACTGAGAGGGGCCAAAGTGAGAAAGATAGTTGACAGGAAGTTCTCTCCCCTTTTCCTTCACCCGGAGCGCCAAGCTTTATCCCCTTGGCTAAACCGGTTGTCTTCAACCTCTTCCCCTCTTTCCCTGGCAATAATCCCCTTTTTCCCCCCTTCCTACCCTCTTTCACACACACACTTTCATTTCCTTCCCCAGTTTCCACACACACACTTCTTTCCTGGTTGCTCCTTGGTCTGGTCTGTTTAAACTCATTAATTGTCTCTTCATCTGTTATTTACGCCCGTCATCTCCTGTTGCTGATAGCCTGCTCTTCTCCTTCTTCTCCTCTATATATACAGAGGACGAAGGGTAAAGAGGCAGTGTGAAGAGGCATTTCCCCTGCATCCTGCCATCTTCAGTGTGTTTATATCCCCCCATCAGAGTTGATCCACGACGCTAAATCAGCGGCCACTCAGCATATTATTCAAATTAACTGTGTCGTCAATCTCAGAGTAAGAGTCGGGTAGAAGGGTCGGAACAAGGCGATTACAGCCCTGTTTATGGCGCCTCCAGAAATTGTTGCAGTTGATGGTCAGTTGTACGGTTGAGGAAAATATATATATATCTTGACCTCTCCCTGTGGCTTCCTCTTCCCCTCGGGGTCATGGCACAGTCAAAAGTCAGGATTAGGATAGTGAGGTTTGTGATGTTGTGTAGCGGCTTGCTCCTTATAGACTACTCAAGAGCTTTAAACCACAAATCAGCATATTCTGATGCAGTGTGGAGTCATGCAGCATATTCTGATGCAGTGTAGAGACATGCAGCATATCCTGATGCAGTGTAGAGACATACAGCATATTCTGATGCAGTGTAGAGACATGCAGCATATCCTGATGCAGTGTGGAGACATACAGCATGTCCTGATGCAGTGTGGAGACATGCAGCATATCCTGATGCAGTGTAGAGACATGCAGCATAGCCTGATGCAGCATATCCTGATGCAGTGTAGACATGCAGCATATCCTGATGCAGTGTAGAGACATGCAGCATAGCCTGATGCAGTGTAGAGACATGCAGCATATCCTGATGCAGTGTAGAGACATACAGCATATCCTGATGCAGTGAGGAAACATGCAGCATATCCTGATGCAGTGAGGAAACATGCAGCATAGCTCGATGCAATAACTCTTGACAGAAAATAAGAAACATTCGTGGCTGCTTCTGGGACATACTCTGGACACATTACCAATGCAGTTCTCGTCCTACTTCTGAAGCAGCAAGTTTTCTCGACTAACTTGATAAGTTGTCTACAAGTTGTCATCATAGGGAGAACTGGGGGACAGTGTTATATCGTTCTTCACAATGAGATTAAAGTTCGTTCTTGTGTTATTATTTATCGTTTTAGTGTGTGTGTGTGTGTGTGTGTGTGTGTGTGTGTGTGTGTGTGTGTGTGTGTGTGTGTGTGTGTGTGTGTGTGTGTGTGTGTGTGTGTGTACTCACCTATTTGTGCTTGCGGGGGTTGAGCTTTGGCTCTTTGGTCCCGCCTCTCAACCTGTGTGTGTGTGTGTGTGTGTGTAATATATATATCCATATATTATATGTATGTATATGTAATTTTACGTGAAAAGGTACTGCAGCAATATCCAGCAAGTGATATACTTAACAATAACACAAAACAAATTAACATAAAAAAACGCATTTGACTTTTACAGTGTGCATATGAGGGGCAAGAATTAAAGTATCAAGAAAAACATAATCTGAATCAAAATAGAATCATTTATCTTCAATGGTTGACTTACAACTGTGGCAGGTACACAAAATGAGTATTCACTTTGGAAGTTCTGGAGACCCAAACCGGTGCCCAACCAGGATTTTACAAATAACCCGCCGACATTCTGGCCTACAGGTAATGGTATTCACACCCTTACTTGCTTCAAATCACAACAACAACCAAAATGGCGTGATATGTTAGTGAGTCATTTTCGGGAAATGAGGTGACTTGAAACGGCGTTCTGATGATTTCCAGACACCTGCTTTAACGAGCCATTTAAGAAAAGTAAAAAAATAACGTTTTGTTAGATATTGGCGATGGTCGAGGGGGGGGGAAATTACCAGTGGTAGAAATATCTGAAATACTGGGAAACTTCCCCCAAAAAACACCCGCTGCTCGACGAACACAAACACCGGATGCGTGTTTGGCTCGCTGTGTTCCCGTGTGTTTGTGTTTGTCTTGTCGAATAATTGGCGGCTGGTGTATAATTGCTCATTGCCTTTTTATTCGCTTGTTTGCAGCACATGTATGCAAATATAATTGGTAAATTCTCTGTTGTAGGTGAAATGGAAAAAAAGTGTTGCTTTTATCGTGTTTTTTTCCATTCAATTTCCAAGCCGATTCTATGTAATTTAAACTTAAAATGTATTTCTCCGATACATTTGAAAAACTCTTTCATGTCTGTATCTGTTTCTTTTTGGTCTGTTTATCTTTGTCCTAGGACGGAGGCCAGACTTTTCAGGGTGACATATACGTGGTGTGTGACTGTCATAAGCTGGTCGGGGGTCACCCACATTGCCTTCCCTTAAGAAATATTCCCTCCTAAAGTTACCTCCAGCGATTTGGACGTCTTCTGGAGTCGGGGATTTGTTCCCCTAGATTTCTTTTGGCAATTTTTCATGGTTTGTAATATTTGTTTACTAAGACACACACACTGTATGGAGGCCATACACAGTTTCAATTGTAGATATGATAGAGCTCAATAGGCTCAGGAATTGGTACACCAGTTGATTAGTTGGTTGACAGTTAAGAGGCGGGACCAAAGAGCCGGAGCTCAACCCCCGCAAACACAACTAGGTGAATACACACACACACACACACACACACACAGAGACACACACACACACACACACACACACACACACACACACAGGGAGAAAGGGAGGGAGGAGGAGTGAGGGAAAGTGGGGTAGGAGAGAGTAAGAGGAGAGGAAATATTGTAGAGGTCAATAAGCATATTATCATGCGAGAGTTATGGCGCAACAAGGGTGCAAGAAGCCTCTATTGTTTATACAATATTATTTAGATTTAGTTTTAAAGCCAAACCTGTTTACTTGCTGTATAGGTTTATTAATATTTGTTTACTTAAATGTTATTGAACAGTGCGTTAGTTGGCGTTCGCCTAACAAGGCTTAGCAGGCTAACGAGGCGATAACATTTGGCAGAGGCTTAGCAGTGTTTACATTATATAACAGTTTCCGTTTAGTGGTGTTGTTGTTGTTGTTAAAGATTCGCTACCTGAAACAAAGTTCCAAGTAGCACGGGCTATGGTGAGCCCGGTGTCCGTTTGGTGTCAAAACTCTGCAGCGATGAATTGTCGGTTAAATCTTTGGAAAAATCTTACTCCTGACACGTGTCAACTGACAGCACATTCTCCTGTCACCTTGACACCAGAGCCTGACCAACATCTCCAGAACAGCTGACTGCTCAATAATACCAGCCTTGTCCACATCTTCAACAGCCCAACGCCCGCCCTTATTAAATATCAGATTGGTGAAGTGGGCTGAGGGCTTTGAGGAACGCAGAGGTGATAGCTCTTGCGAAGAGGCATCTGACGTAAAAAAAAATATTGAATAGGTCTCTTGAAAAAAAAAAGAGGACAAGGAGGGAGAGGTTCAACTTTTGTAAAAAAAAAAATGTGGGGTTTTCGCTACCTGAAAACTACTAGTCAGTAGTTTTGAAGGGAGGCAGGTCTATTGTGGAGGCAATACAATGAGTGTGAAATACTTACAGTGAGTATAAGTACTTGGCATATATCTCAACTCATCCTCCAAAACTTACAGTACTTGTATCTTCCATCATAGCAGTAGCTATAACATATGCAGTAATAGTGGGGACTATTACTGCATCGTTTGGGGAATACAAATAGTGAAGACTGTTGTAAAAAATTCCTCACTGTATTATTGTAATTGTCTAAAGTAGAACGAAAACTGTAACAGACTTGCTACCAACTTGTCCTATTCCTAAGTTAGGAATGGCATATTCCTCGGCCTAACATACACAATCCTAAGACAATTTTTTACATATACTATAGTAGGTCTAGGGGCAAAAATGGCCACCAGCGTCACCTCCATCAGAGGTATAGCCTGCTAGTTCATCAACGTTCTTCAGTCATGTCGCTAAAGATTCATTTTTTTTCCATTGGCGCCTGCACCACCAAGATTGTAAAGCTTCCTTCCCTTCCTCAGGCTGTCTCTCATTCCTGTATATTGTCAAAGATGGTTCTCTTTCCATCTCTATTTCTCGAAATCTCTTTTATCCAGCCGTATCTTTTCGTTTATCTCTCTACCTTCCTCTTTCATTATCTCCCTCTCCTCGTCTCTCTCGCCTGTACTACCCACCATGCTGCTTGTGGAAGCGTTTGTGCGCTTGTGTGGTTCTTGTGAACCAGAGAGAGTTGTTAAGCAAGTCTTGAAGATTCCAACTCACATCTTGAGTTAGTTGGTATATGAAGTCATATACCAAGTAACTCAAGATGGTTCTTCTCCAGACTAATGAAGGCATTGTTCCCGTAGACCAACTAGCCGCAGATGCCCTGATGCCCTGCTCCCCCCCCCCTCTCTCTCTCTCTCTCTCTCTCTCTCTCTCTCTCTCTCTCTCTCTCTCTCTCTCTCTCTCTCTCTCTCTCTCTCTCTCTCTCTCTCTCTCTCTCTCTCTCTCTCTCTCTCTCTCTCTCTCTCTCTCTCTCTCTCTCTCTCTCTCTCTCTCTCTCTCTCTCTCTCTCTCTCTCTCTCTCTCTCTCTCTCTCTCTCTCTCTCTCTCTCTCTCTCTCTCTCTCTCTCTCTCTCTCTCTCTCTCTCTCTCTCTCTCTCTCTCTCTCTCACTCCCTCTCTCTCTCCTCTCTCTCTCTCTCTCTCTCTCTCTCTCACACTCTCTCTCTCTCCTCTCTCTCTCTCCACACATCCTTCTTCTAATTGCTACTTGATGTATATTATATATTATGGAACACGTGTTTGGTCCAGCCTGGCCTCGGGCCGGCCTCGGGGAGTAGAAGAACTCCCAGAACCCCATCAAGCAGGTAACTCAGAGACGGAACCAAACAATGCATTTCCCAGTATGGAAATAATTTAGCGGTAGCCGAGACAATTTTATACAACAAATTATTTCCTCACAGAGCGATCTACTTGTGGACCCTAAAAAAGGCTGGAAATTGACAGACTGATTTTTAGTCGCTGTCCAATGCATATTTTCCTGTCATTGATTAATTGTTATATTAATAATATTAGTGTTTAGTGCGTGAAGTATTATGCATTAATATTATTCATATTTAGTACTTATTAGTATTATTAGCTGCTCAGTACTTGAAGAACATAACCAAGACGGTTAACGTTGTCTAAGTTCCTCAGGAAAATTTCAACTTATTCATCTGAATCTTAGTTGATAATTTGTTTCATATTTTATTTATTTTTATTTTAGTTATGATATTGAATGATATTAACCAAATGTTCTTATGACAGGTGTCCCCAGGTGGAGACCAGGTAGGTTACTGTGTAGTGCTTGCTGGTCCAGGTGCTTGTTGGTCCAGGTGCTTGCTGGTCCAGGTGCTTGCTGGTCCAGGTGCTTGCTGGTCCAGGTGCTTGTTGGTCCGGGTGCTTGTTGGTCCAGGTGCTTGCTGGTCCAGGTGCTTGCTGGTCCAGGTGCTTGTTGGTCCGGGTGCTTGTTGGTCCAGGTGCTTGTTGGTCCAGGTGCTTGTTGGTCCGGGTGCTTGTTGGTCCAGGTGCTTGCTGGTCCAGGTGCTTGCTGGTCCAGGTGCTTGTTGGTCCGGGTGCTTGTTGGTCCGGGTGCTTGTTGGTCCAGGTGCTTGTTGGTCCGGGTGCTTGTTGGTCCGGGTGCTTGTTGGTCCGGGTGCTTGCTGGTCCGGGTGCTGCTGGTCCGGGTGTTTGCTGGTCCGGGTGTTTGTTGGTCCGGGTGCTTGTTGGTCCGGGTGCTTGCTGGTCCAGGTGCTTGCTGGTCCGGTGCTTGTTGGTCC